ACTTTAAATATATTTGAATATGCTGAAATTTTTTGCCTAATCTCATCAATGTGCTTCGACCACCTTAGCCCTCTATCCAACCATAAACCCAGATATTTAATATTATCCACAGTCTCAAGCGGAGTATCACCCACTGTCAACGTAACAGGTTCTCTTAAAGAACCTGATTTAAAAACACAAACTTTGCTTTTCACAGATGAAATGTTTAGACCAATGTCTTGAAACATCAAATTGACATAATTTAAAGCTACTTGTAAATTATTAGAAATGCTTGTAATTTTTTTACCTGAAGAAAATATAACATAATCATCAGCATATTGTGAAATAAATACATTAGGAAAGTTAATTGAGTGACAAACTTTCATAGTGATAATATTAAATAATAATGGGGATAAAGGGTCTCCTTGGGCTAAGCCGTAGCTTGTTGTTCGAGAAATTTTTAACTCCTCAACTTTGACTTTTAGATTTCTTTCCTTTAAGAAATTCCATAGATAGTTGCAAATTCTAGATCCAACCCCGATATCGTCCATAATTTTCACAAGGCAAGTAACATCTACATTATTATAGGCGTTGTCAAGGTCTAAAAAGCAGCTTATGGTGGTAAATCCTTTAGAAAAACCTATCTGAATTCTAGATGTCAGATTAGTGAGATTATTCAGAGTAGAGTGACATTTTCTAAATCCAGTCGTATTCTTAGACAGAAACTTATTGCTTTCAATGTACCATTCTAATCTATTGAGTAAAATGCCATGAAAGACTTTACACAAACACGAGATCATAGATATAGGTCGCAAGGAAGATACACTGTTAGGATCTCGACCAGGTTTTGGGATTGGTATTATAATTATGTTTCTCCATTGTTTAGGGACAAAACCATTGAGCAGAAAGTCATTATAAAGATTAACTAAAAACATTTTTCCCTTATTTGGCAAGTGCTTTAACATAGAATAAGAAACGTTATCATCTCCCGGTGATGTATCTTTTGCTCGGATGCATTTTTCTAATTCCTGTATCGTTATGGGTATTTCTAGCTTGGGATTATATGACTTAAATATCGGTTTATCAGGGATAACAGAATCAGGAGTTAGAGTATGTAGAAGATTCCTCGCACACTCTTTGTTTATATATGGTATATTTGGTTTGTTACCTTTTAGCCATTTCATTTTCTCCCAAACCTGTTTAGCAGAACAAGATTGACTTATACTGGAACAAAAGTTTTGCCAACAAACTGTCAATGTCAATTTACAAACTGTCAATGAACATATCATAAGATTCCTGCAACACGTCCGAGACAACTAAATTTGAAAATAGTTCATCGAGCAAAGCTGTATAAGAATTCCAGTCAGCTTTTTTATAATTCCTTTTTACATTCAAACCAATAGATTTATTTATTTTAGATGTAATCTTAATTACTTGATGGTCACTTCCTAAAGTTTCACTAAGAACTGCAAAATTCATCCGTAGAGCTATATCGGAAGAAGCTATCGATAGATCGGGAGATGACTGCTGTAAGTTGCCGTTAACATATTTTAATCGAGTCATATTACCATCGTTCAATGTAATAAACGCGTTGTCCATCAATGCGTCAAAAATTTGGACACCTCTTTGGTTGATTTTTGTGGACCAATTTGTGTGATGGCCATTAAAATCACCCAGTAACAAAGTTTTATGCTTAAAACGGGAGAATAGGTAGTCCCAATCACTATATGCCGTATTAATAGATGGAGGGCAATATAAAGAAATAATGTTTTCAATAAAATTACAATTGTGTAGCTTAATACCTACAATTTCAATTCCTGCGTTAAGACACGTCATTGGTATGGTGTGTGCATGAATGGATTTATGAGTGACAATGGCAACTCCTCCGTATCCGTCACTTCTGTCTACCCTAAAAATATTGTAGCCATTTAATTTTAAACTATCTGAAGGCCGGAGCCATGTCTCACTTATAGCCGCAATATGAATCTTCTCCTGTGACAATAAGCTTTCAAAAGCTGTTAATTTTGGTATAATACTCTGTGCGTTCCACTGAATAATGTTCAAAGGTATTGACTGATTATGTCTAGCCATTAAAGTAATCTAATAAGTTTTTCAAGATCGGCCAATCGGAGATATTTTCTACTACGACTAACATTAACCACTCTATACAACTTTTCACTATATTTTGTATTTTAATATGTAACGATTGGTTTTTTAAAAATAATATATTTTTTAATTTAGTTAAAAGTTCTTCAAATGTTACTTCTCTCTCTTTCACTGATGTTATTGGGGGTGAAGATGATGCAGAGTTGTTATTGAATTTGTCCTGAGTATCGCTTCCTTGTGGGAACGGCGTAGATGGACGAGCTTCTTTGTGCCTAAGCAGAGTGGTCTTCTTTCTAATAGGTTTAGGTTTTAGAACAGAAGCATAAGTTTGACTCCTTTTGTTAGAGGGCTCTTCATCTTCATACTCGATCATGCAATGAGACGAACCATCTATATTTTCAACAAAAATAACTGGTTCTATTGTTGGAATAGGTGAAGTTGGAGGTACGTAAATAGTAAGTGCCCTTTTATATGTACAATTAAATTCAGCCATCAACTGTCTAATATTTTTTCTTTAATAAACTTGGGACACGTTCTGTCTAAGGCCATATGAGGTCCCGAACAGTTAATGCATTTAAATGTTTTCGTCTCACAATTAGGGTGATTATTACCACATTTAGGGCAAACAATTTTTTTTGCAGGACAGTATTTGAATATATGCCCGTATTTCCAGCATTTTGAACACTGGGAAACTGGGAAGACGTATTTTTCAACCTTTATACTTAGATTATTAATCAAAATATAAGTAGGTATAAATGAGCCCTTGAAACATAAGCGTATAGTTTCACAATCACTCCATCCTCCTTTGTCTGTATTGCGACGCATTAGACGTTTTACCAATATAAGCACTGCCGGGCTAGGACAAGAAATAGCACTTAAAATCTCTTCTTCAGAAATATTGACCTCAATATCCCTTATGATGCCATACGATATATGTTTTTCTGTAGACTTCTGTACCCTCCAACCCTTCTCTAATAAAGTTTCACAAGTTACCAACTTATTTGCCTGTATTTCATTGGCACAGTCTATTCGGACTTTAAATGGGTTGATATATTTTACCCTAGCAACATCTGTAACGTGGAGTTCGTCTAATATCTTTGCGAATGCAAACTGTTTAGGTAACTTTCATTACTTGAAATGTATAATTGAATACTACCCTCCTTTAATTTTTTTTCTTTAGACCCAACTACAGTCCATTCTTCTTCTTCTCGTTGTCTTTTTGCCGATTTAATTTGTGTGTCTTCATCCATTTTTTCTGTTTGTGTACATTCAACTAATCTTCTTTCGTCTATTTCCGCAATTTCATTGTCCAATAAGGAGTCATTAAAAATTGTGTTATCATCTACATTTGTTGCATTTAATTGCTTATTCATTTACAGGTAAACAAATAGAAATGTTCATAATTACGATTGAGCAGGTTGAATTCCACTGTGATGACTCACCAACACTATCGTAAACAACTATTAAGAATGCGCGTATAACACAGCTAACCCGTACGAGCGCCGCACTACGTATGATCTAACTTTTACAGTTCTGGAGGTATTTCAATTTTTGTGACTGACCCGTAATTTTTGGAACCGAGTGTATACTCGTATATATATATATATTTATATTCTATAATGTAGCAGGTACTTCTTTGTTCAGTTTGCCTTTGGTTAAAGTATATTTTACTATGCGTAGCAATTTATAAAGCTTAAAAGCGTAACAAACAAAATCACTTAAAAACGGAATTCAATGTTTTTGCGTTTTTGTTTTTTTATTGTAAATTCAATATGTACCCCAAATTTCATCCAATTTCATCTAGTAGTTTTTTTTTTTCAAACATCAATCCGTCTGCCTTAAAAAAAAAATGCTTTCGTTATATTATTAAGAAGTAAAATTAGTAAGGGAGTAAGGATTTCTTTGAGCAGTCCAGCTGAATACACAATCTCCAAGATTGTATAACTTATTTAAATTTGTGATAACAGACTCGGTGATACGTCTAGTCTAGCTTGATCCCGTTTATTTTCACAGATATTATTATTTGGGTTAGGTATAAGAGGTAGGGTAGCTTTAGAATGGAAAATTTATTTACTTAGAACGATATTTTGTTTGTGTACTACTTATTTCAAATAAATATCTAATACCTGTAAACGAGCAATTCATGTATATATACTCGTATATATATATATACGAGTATATATAATCTGAATCTCGGAAACGGTCCCAACGATTTTCATGAAATTTAGTATACAGGGGGTTTCAAGGGCGTGCAGGTAATTTTAGAAAGTTTATCAAAAATAATACCGAGCAAAGTTCGGTCATCCAGGTACTAAATATTTCACAGTGTTAAAGCTCATTAATTTCGTATTTACATTATTTTATGTAAATAGCCGGGACATTTTCAGAACTTTTTAGTATTTTTTAAATCGTTCCTAACTTCGATTTTTTTTGCATGGGTTTTTTGGGGATGACATCTCAAGAATAACTGTCTCTGAATCAAATATTATTATTTCCCATATTATAAATTCATTTAAGTAGATTTAGCCTTTTTCGGAGGTTAATGATACCTATTTATAACATTTAATACACGACACTTTATACCAAGAAAGAAAGAAACAGAATAATTTACAACTATCGACAGATCAGTAGGAATAAGAAACTTATAGCACAAACAATCTCTTACAGGAAACATGATGGATCAGGCTATCATAGAGAGTTGTAGGAGTGTTGATCCATCAAGACATAAAAGATTAGTGTTTTTGTAGCGTACGCAAACGTGTACGCTTCAAAAACTAAAAAGGTTCGAAATTAATTGAACTCAAATTTTGACACGATATATGCTTCAGGGATGCTTTTTATCTATTTTTTCCTTTATGCTCCCTACTTTTGTGTCTCATTTAAAACTGCTTCATCGATTTTAGTTTGAAACTCACCAGTTCATTTTTGATGTCACCAACGATATGATCATTGTTCACGAACCATTTGTATGATAAATTATTTGGATTAGCGCTTGCTTGGCAACCTGAAAGTACAAGTTTATGTAAAAATATCGAATGTGAATCGCACCTCTCACACACCTCTGTTTGTAGGCTGGGTATATAAAATATGACCAATGCGTTACTTTTAACATATAGTACATTCATGTTACGAGAAAAGAATAAACCATTCAGGTAATCAATCTAAAAATGTAGGGCTTATTATGAAAATTATTGCATTGTTTTGAACTACTTTGATTTTTTTAACAAAATTTGTTTAAAACTTCTGTAAATATAAAAAAATACACAAGGAGAGCAAAGATCATCATCAACAGCAACGCTCTTTTCAAATTATACCTTTTTTTAATTCAACATATTTTTATTTTTAAACCTACATTAATTTAAAAGAAATATTTTCCTGAATTTTTTTTTTTTTTAAAGGCAAATAAATTATATTCATTTTTGTCACAGCAAGAATCAATCAACGTTACCATTGCATAATTTAATTAAAAATATTACTTTACTTAATTGTTTCATTTCATTTATAACCTGTTTAGATTAACATACCTATAACCACAGTATCACCCTCCTCTATAGCTCCTTTCGATAGTCCAGATTTAACGAACATACGAACTTTGGGCGCATATTGTACCTGCAACAAAATTTATCAATGTAGATACTCACTACAGATAACAACACAATACAATTATACAATAATACATTACAATAATACAATAATACAAAAATACATTACAGTAATACATTACAATAATACAACAATACAATAATACATTTTTTTTTATTTCAACCCCTAGGTAATTTAAAGGTAACCCCTGGTACTAGCAAAACAGCTGACACTCCAAATGTTCATTTTCCTGGTTTTGGTGGAAGTTGTTTTTTATAGACCTCTTTGAAAATAAAACATGGCCAACATATAAGGAATGTTAAAGAAAGTGCATTATTCGTAAGGATACCGTATATCGCAAACCTAAATAACACACTTGAATTTAAACAACACATTTAAATTAAAAAAAATAGAAATCCTTAAAGTTCTTTGAACCATATCAATCGTTCTATTAATAAGTGCAAAGTACACTAGAACTGTAAAATATCTACATCGAACCCCGATTTTATTTCGTTTGTCTGTCTTCATTTTTACGTTATTTTTTCCCTGTCATTCTAAAGCTGTTTGATCAATAAAATACTATGTAAAAAATGAGATCGGTATTCCACAATTGTAAGATATATAGTGTTTCTTCAAGTCCCCGAACAAGCAATGTGCAGGATCGGATTCGGCTTCAACTAAAATGTCCAACAATTTTTCACTCGAGACCTATACAAAAAGAGGTCTTAAAATTAAATCCAACCATTTCTCGTTGTGTCCAGAATAGAAAGTATATTTTCCCAGCAGCTAGAACGATGCAGAAAACATACAATATAACAAGTAAGAAATAAATACAGCTACGGCACATCTTGGAGGAGAAAAGTTCGAAGGCTCAGTGTATTTTACAGCTTTTTTCTATCTAGCGGGTATAAGTTGCAGTCGTTAATACTGTAGTTGATTTTCTTTCAGTAGACTTTTTTGGATGTTTTAACATAAAGTGACTAGGAAGATTCTACAAAAAACTATTGAAGATAATAAAACTTTGAGTAAAAGCATCTTGTGGATAGTTAGAAGTGCCAATATCAGTCAATCAAAAAATGACGATTTAGAAATTCTTTAGAAACCGTAAGTAGTTACCGGGGTCTTTGACCAGTTTTACAAGAGATGATGAAGATTTTGATGAGTATGATCTTCTTTACAGGTTCCTATAGAGTTCTGGTATCACATTAGTACTGTTGGTATCCATTCAAACAGAAGACAATGGTGGCTTCTGTTTGCATTTTCGGAGTTTCGCATAAATGGAAATTTAGTAGGCAACAAAATTTCCATTTATGCGAGTACTGCGATGCCAATCTATGGTATGTACTATACTAAGCTAAGATAATTAAGCCGAGTTTTTCTTATTAAGTTAACTCTCAGAAAAAAAATCTTATGTCGCGGGGTACTTCACGAACAATTACATAATATTTTACTAATTAGGCCGGAATAGGGGTGTAGCGACTATTGCCCCATTTGTAGTCAGTGTAACTCCACCTTTATAACCAAGAGAAAGTTATGCATGTACGTTCAATTTAATAATTCGTTTATGCTTATAACTAAAATATATATGTATATATCAACATTTTTACAAGTTTTTGAGCGCGTGTCTCACCAACAGTTTTGAAAGCGCTCCTTCGTACAATTTGGAGCAACGCCACGCTTCATAGAACGCACTCTGAATATAACGTATGTGGGCTAATACTATTCTGTTGTCTTAAATCCTTAGGTGAATACTGCATTTTAACGTTTGGTGAAGACTCCTAATGGCCCCTTACGACACTCCTGGGTATTGCAACCTATTTCTATTCGAGGTCAAAGTACAAGTGTAATGTATACTTGGAAGATCCTAGAACTATACTAAAGACGACTTTGTAGTAGTAACTAAAGTATTAAGCTTTCCCTGGATTAATATATTATAAATATTATATTAGAATATCCTTAAAATGCTGTTGAGGTTATAATTATTTTACTAAATTGTTTAATGACCTTTATTAACAAACTTATTTAATCTAGGAAAGTAATGAATAAAAACAATCAGATGGTTTAAACAGGCAATCGGAAACAATTAGTTTTAGGTAAAAAAAAATTTTTTTTTGATGTAAGCCGCCATGATATTACGTAATCATGTTAGTAAAAAACTGAGTGAAATGTAAATTTTATTGTAAATTATTTTTGTCTACATATTTTTTCTCGTGGAATTTTTTTGTGATATATTTGAACCCCGATTTATATTTGGCAGATTACAAGATTTTGTATGATTCGCCAATATAATATTATATGTCTTTTCTTTAAAGGGTAAATACTTTTCTTATAATTTTGGTAGAGAAACGACCGATTTGTAAGAAAAAATCTATTGTGACACCATTTGCTTAATTATCTAAAAAAATCTATCAGAATTTGTAAAATTATGTAATTTTTTGAACCTGCATAGTAATAGCAGCACAATACAACTTGAATGATAACAAAATGAACAGCCAATTGCCTCACAAACATAGCGTGCCAACTTAATCTACTTATTCTAATATAATCGCAAAGCCATTCCTAATCCGTCAGCACACACTTTATTTTGTAACCAATGAAGCTTTATGTCTAGACGAAGCCGTACGTAGCAGAGAATTAAGTTAACAAAGCCTTTTTGAAGTGACAATAAACTGTTTGAAAGGACCCTGTGCCATTCACGAGTTTGAACGTTTATATTCTACAAACACATGTCTGGTTTGTTGGAAACGTCGAGAATTACGAAAGAAATTTAAAGGGTTCTTATATTTATATTGCTGCACAAACATAACTTTATATGAATGTGAAAGTTAACAAAAAGACGTTTCTTAACCTTCTCAAAAGTTAGAAATTTGTAAATTGTATAAAATTATTATCATATATAACTTCCAACTGAGAGAATTATTTCAATGTCAATGCTTTATTTATAGAACTAATATAAAGTCAGGATCTTAAAATTAATTTAAAATAACGTTGATTCTAAATATAGTTTGCTCTCTTTTTAATCGTTTAAGTTTTCTCTGCAGGAGTAAAATGTGTATTTCAAGAATAAAAGAGTATTAATTAATATTGCGAAGTGAAAATCCTCGGTCCTTTTCCAATCACTACGACATACCAGCTAGCGGGTACTCCATTAGAACGTGTCTATGCAATTCGCGATCTAGGCCTAATCATGTATCCCCATTTAAATTTCCATGAACATATTATTAAAACGTGTAAAGAGGTAAGTAAAAGTCTAGGTTTCATAATTAGAGCATCGTATCAATTTAAAAATGTCCAATTGATAATACCATTTTACAGTGTCTACGTGCGGAGTAAGTTATATTAAGCACATCGACAGCATAATTATAACATCGCGGGGCGATAACATTTTCATAATTTGAGTTTCAGGTAATTATACAGATAATACACATACGAGTATAGATATGCATGACACTTAGTATATTTCCAATGGACTAAGAAGATTTTTCATACAAATGCTAATTAAATACACAAAGAAACACACACAAAAATAAGACCAAAACTAAAAAGTTTTTTTTAATAATAAAAAACAACAAAAACAAAACAAAATAGAACAGGCGCTCTAAGAGTTGGGTTCGGCAATATGGTTTCGTATGGAATGTCTGTATTATGTGAACTTCATGGAGAAGATATCAATGTTTTCCACTGTCATGGACCTTTCGTTATACAGTCTTGCCATGCGTATTTTATTGCCTATTGAAAGTGGTATTTAAAGTTAATACAGGTATTTCAAATGTACGATGGTGACGCATTACTTATGTATTAATCCTAAAGTTAAAGTCGTATATCAATTGTGCATCTATCGAACCCTTTATAATTTTGTTAAAGTTTAATGCCTTAGTATGGAGCCCTCGAGAAACCTTGTATACAATGATGGTTAAAAAAATCCAACGTAAGTTTGTCCGATATTTGTACAAACGTATATCCCATATATACGTACTACCCATTTCTTCACCCATTAACATTTGTATCAGGCATAGTTTGTCTAGATACCTTACAGCTTAGGCGAGAAAACCTCCTTTCTAAGGAGAGGCTTATGTCCAGCAGTAGACTATTTAGGCTGTTGATGATGATGATAAAGTATATGAAAATTATCCTAATCGATAAGAGCATTGTGTCTCTATGTAATTCAACGGAAGTAACATCTAGTATCAAAATATTTTCTAGAACCAGAAGTCACAAGTTCTAAGGATGTTTCCCATTAAAATCCTGGTTACCGCAGAAGAAAAATCATTTGGCGATGATGTACAGGATCTGCTGACACACTAACAGGGCATCGTCACAAAATTAGAGCCTTGCACAGCCCCTATTTTCACTTCTTCAGTATATCCAGCTAACCTCGGCCAAAACCATTTGATCCCCTCACTTAAGATAAGTCCAGTGAATAAAGAGATTTCAATAGACCAAATGAAACTGGTCATGCCAGTAAGCCGAATCAGCGAATTTTCTAAAAGCAGATGTACAAAAATGCGGCACGGATTTTTTTCCAACTGTCTGTTTCCTTATTTCGTTTCTCTTTTCTTTATATCTGTTTATTGGAAGGTTGACTTAAAAAGTAATTTATGTGTGTCGGTGCTTCAATGAAGGTTTTACTTTTTTTTATTGCTTAATTTGAATGAAATGAAAATTTGTTGTAACTATAAGTTGTTATTTTTTAACAATAAAACTATGATACCTAATTTACAGCGTGTCTTAAATCCACTAAGCATAACTTGTACTTTGGTTTTTGATCAAACAACCAACTAAACATTTGTTTATCTATGATCTTGAACCAGATCTTATTTTTAAGGGTTCCGTACCTCAAAAGAAAAAAACGGAACCCTTATAAAATCACCTAGTTGTCCATCTGTTTGTCTGTCCTTGTCCTTTATCTCGGAAACGCGTGAAGGTATCGGGTCAAAATTAAAACCATATACTCAGGTCTACGATCCCTTAAAGCTCTAAAATAATCAAACTCCTAAGTTAACGTAAAAAAAGATACAGCCGTCTCTGCTGCAAAAAGCGTACATATCGACAATCCCAAGGGAATCAAAATTCATGAGGTACTTTCCGTTGACCAATAACTCTGAAATTTAGCAAGTAACATCATCTTATACTAAAAATATAGGAAAAATCTTAAAACTATACATTTGCAATTTAATCATAAAAACTTAACTTAACTTAACTTATCCGGCTTTTTTGTGAATAATAAGAATGATAACTAGAGTCCATTCATACACGGTCGTCTGACCCCAAACTAGGGGGAACCTGTACTGATACCGAGACAAAAGAAAAGAAATTGCTCATCACACAGTTATTTGACCTAGGTTAGAATCAAAACCGCTACACTATTCGCCGTCCGTGTGGTGACGGATTAAGAATACGGAGTGTCACCACCCCTATTCATCCCGTAGGTGTCGTAAGACGACTAAGTAAGCAAACTCTGTAGGACAACAGCACTGCAAATAGATGGAAAACTTGAAACAAACCCTATTACAACCCGTCTGGTACAGCAGGCCATAACCCCTTTTCTAAGGAGAGGCCTATGTCCAGTAGCGGACAACTAAAGGCAATTGATGATTAATGATGATGACAGTATTGGCTAGTTAGACGAACCACATCGATAGTAATAAAAAGATATACTAAATAGTATAATTATATGTTTATCTAGTCTAGTAAATATTTATACTACTTAAAAGAAAACTCCCCATAAGCTTACATTTTAAAATTAATTAAATTATGTTAAAAACAAACAGGCTTATAGGATTTCGATGACAAGAAATGTGTGAACAAATGAAGGATAAAAACACGTAAGTTTGAATCCTTATTGATTTTTTCTAATCCGTCTTTACTTACATTCCATCGAAAACTTATAAAAGTAACTAATAGGTTATATTTAAACTAATAACTAAAAGCATTATTAGTAAAATAAGCTGTAAAAGTTAACCAATCAAAAAAGGGAAAAGAAATACCTTAAAATTTTTCTTAACCAATTTATTATTTTATGTTAATTTGAAAAACATCTTTGAGGCGCAATGTACGACAGAAAATTGTAACAGACGTTCCCCTTTTTCCTTTTATATACATTTTAATATAAAATTATACGACGGAGATAAGCCCAAGGGAAGTTCACCCATAAAGTCTTAAACAAAATGTCGGCTTAATCGTCGTATCAAATTATCTCATTTTTGTGGGTAGAATGCCCGGTTATGGGTATAAAGTGGTCATTAGTATACACCAAAACTTTGTTAATGTCTTAGGTATTGTTATGGTATGCACATCTGGGTACAGAATTTAGCCTCACAGTAACGATACTTGGTAGTTTACTACACTTCATAACTTTAATTTATTGGGCTTTAATATCGAAGCAGCTGTATGGACCTTTGTATAAATAAAACAGAATGTTATTATTAATGATATTAATTTATTTTATGCTGTAGTTGGCAAACGAGTAGACGGGTCATGGTAAGTGACTACCGTCGTCTATGGACCCTTGAACTCAAAAGATACAACTGCGAGGCCCCATTTCCAAAATTCTAAGTTGGTCCTCTCCACCTGATAAAAGCAATCTAAGATGTGCTAAATACTGGTTTTCCGGTAATCAACCGGAGAGTTATCGTAACTTACATTTCATCGTAAGTAATTTAAAAAGAAAAAGATTACAATGACAAAAAAGACTAAAATAATTAGATGAAACTGTCTTCCTCTAAGTCAAATTCTCTAACCTAAGTTCCAAATCCTTGCTGAAATAACATTTCGGTTTACATCGAAGTTGCAATAGCGGACGTCAGGAACATTTAAGAGTAGTGACTCTAAATGAGGTGTTAAATTGGTTAAATAAATCAGGCCTAAGTAGAATCGGAACAAGCTTCGGATGGAAAAGAACAATTTATCAGGAAACACTCGACTTGCGACAGAAAGAGAACAAAAAACTTTTTTATATTAAAATGTTTCATTCCCTTCGTGAAAGCTGGTATTGCTTAAAGATATTTGTACGTAGGTACAAGACATTATTTTCTATGACATGTTTAGGCTATTATTATATTTATTGTATGTTTGTTATTTACTTTTTTAAAGAAAACTCCCGAACTAGTAATAAATCCTGTGTCGCGGGGGACTTTCCAAACATTCATGAAAAGGACATATAGAACACCCAGCATCAGAACAACAATTTGTGGTTCATATAGTGCTGTCCCGTGTGGGGATCGAACTCACAACACTCAATGCAGTAGAAAGAAACCACTGGGTCATATATTTTTTATTGTATAGGAGGGCAATCAGGGGGAAAAGGTTTTGGGCTCCGGTTACCTCACTCACTCATTGAAAAGCAATTAAAGAATTGCTTAGCAAGATGTTCTGTATTTAATTTATGTATAATATACAATAATGTACGTTTAATATAATACAGACGTACTGCATTGAGTCTTTATTGTCATCATGATTTATTTGAGACAGGGTATTACAAATACATGAGATTAAATTTTAGGAGCGTTTTGTGTAGCCCGAAAATAGTAGTTAAACATCGAAATTCGGGCTCTTATTGTGCAAGAGTAATGATAAAAATGTTATTCAAATCACTTTCAAAGAAATACTTACGTATATAAATGTATAAAATCTTATTACTTATTTCATACAGATACTAATAATATGCCTTTTCCTTATGAAGCCAATAGAATACATGTTTCTTATTACATAGTAATAAAATTTCTTACATATAACCGAATTTAGTCGTCGACGTCGTTTATAATCAGTACCACAATATCAATTTGCGCTATCATGCTTCTCGCTTCAGCTTTTAATTTTAAAAGTAAAGAACATAAAAACTGTTACGGCTGCACGTTTATACCTTATATCTCCATTATATTTTCTGCAAACAAGTTAATACGTGCTCTATATTTTAGTCTTCAGTCACGTAGAGTTGAAAAATATGGTTCAGTGCACAAGAATTGAACGTTCTAGGTTTACTAATAAATATGAAATGCGCAATGTGTTTTTCATCCTTATTTTCAATAGAAGCACGAGCTGGATTACTCAGTTTTTATATTTTCCATGCATCATCTTATGCTAAGTTCATGTGAGAATCAAGAATATACGTATAGAATAATACGACTGCATAAAAATATTGCATGGTGAAATAGGTTCGATCGTCGTTTATGTATTTAGATAGCGATAGGATAATAATTATGGTATATGAAAACTAAAAATCAAGCGTTTATAGTATAGAACGTAAAAAAACACTACACTATCCACGTTCATCATCGAAATATCATTTTTTTTAAAGGTAACTCCCGCATACATGCCAAGCTTGACAATATTGAATGTTGAAATTCAATAAGTCGTAAAAATACACGAACAACAAATCCTTTGAAGGAAATCCAATTGTGTACACTCCATTAACATAATTGGTAACATAGTAGGAAGCAATGTAATCAACCAATAAGCTTTATGTTTTCGGAACTATTAATTCATCATTAATTAATTTACGAATTTTAACAGAAGATCGTAAAGATAAGTGTATGTGTAAAGTTATATAATTACTTGTAATTTGTACTATCTACCCAAAGTTCCTTACATTCGGTTAGACAAGTAGGAGAAGACTGACAGGTTCCATGTGACCTAGTATGAGTTTATTTCGTTTGTTGCTATAGGTGAAGAATTCAGTAGGAGCCAATCCTAACGCTGAACGCGGTCACCGTGTCGGTCGAGTTGATGTGAAAGAAACTCACACTAAGCCTTCTGAAGACCAGTATCAATCAAAGAAAATGGAATATTCTTTAAGTATACTCTACAGATCTGTCTAGCTAACGATGCTATCGTTAGATCTTACTAACTCATGTGTACCTACGATGATACACATTTTTACTAATGTCAACTACTGATAACTTTAACCAGTAGATGCAGTAGGCAATAAGTAGATATGATATGACAGAGCAAGTAGATAAGACACCTCCAATTTCAGTACATTGAAAGTAAAAGCGTTACTTCCTACCTGTAACTTCACAGTAACAGATCTATATGCACGATCAGCAGTGTTCTGAGCTTGACATGTCAGAGTCTGGTTGTGATGATGTCGTCGTGGTCGTAATCGCAGTACGGACCTGAAAAAATTAAAACTTTAGAACTGAAGTATAATATATCGTATATAATAATATATTTTCTTTAGACTGGTATCATTTAAGGGAGAGTATCTATAGAAATTGATAGGCAATCAGTATGACAAAGATAATGACAAAATTTTAATATTAGGTATTGTTGAGCTTGATTACACAATGATAGATTATTTTGTTAAATGAATAACAGTCATCACAGTAAGTCATTTACATTTAAAAATTAAACATATTTGTATGTACTTATAGACCTAATAGTTCCCTAAGTTAATAGAACATCTAGATCATGAGTGTATACGATTACAATCCGAATCATTTAAATAAATTTTTACATTTTTGTCAGAGGCGAGAGCAGTCAGATCTTGGTCAAAACAAAATAGATAATTTGTTAAAACAGATAATTTAGTAAAAAGTTAAAGATAATCAAGAAAAGTTTTGAAGGCAACAAAGAGCCCGTTTCTTAAAGGAATCAAGAGATAGATAAAAAATATCAACTTTACACCGCGCATCATCGTACAAACGGCAGGCTCATCTAATGAAACTATTGCTTGCGTAACAGGTAGTTGCCAGGGGAGCAGAGAATAATTTCCTTTTACGACAGCTTCTTTCTGGTCTGCACGGAATTCGAAAATTAATTTTTTGTAACAATAAAGGGGAATCTACGTAGTTATTTAATATTTTGTATAAGAAAGTAACATCACGTAAGTCCCTTCGATATTTTTAATAACGTTACGTTATGGTATTTGGCAGACCTTTCGTAGTCTACATGTATGTGCCCAGTGCGGAAATCGAGAGCTTTAACAAATTTACGCTGAATCCTTTCAATTTTATGGATGTTAATTTGATAATGAGGCTGCCAGACTAGAGAAGCCAATTCCAATCCACTTCGCACATAAGCGTTGTACAACAACTTATAGGTTAACGAATTTTTAAAGGGTTTACTAACTCTCAAGATGAAGCCCAATTTATTATAGGCTTTGTTTATGATTTTATCTATATGAGGAATGAAGGTTAATTTGCTATCCAAGATAACTCCTAAATCACGAACCTCAGTGACTCTACCCAAGACCCTACCATTCAGTCTGTAATCGAAAATGATAGGATGAGATTTTCTAGAAAAGGTGATCACATGACATTTGTTTATATTGAGAAGTAAGTTATTGTTTTGACAGAAAAACTCAAAGTTATTCAAGTCGTCTTGGAGTAAATTACAGTCTATGCTTTTACGTATAATACGAAAGATTTTTGTGTCGTCGGCATAAAACAGGTGGTTTGAATTCTTTATGTTATCTGAGATGTTATTTAAATACAGAATGAATAGCAGATGGGAGCCCTGAGGCACACTCGAGCTTATAGGTTTGTATTGGTATATAAAACCATTAACTGCTACAGCCTGGCTTCTGTTTTTGACATAAGAAGTTATCCAACGGAAAAGATCGCCATGCACACCAAGATTCCAAATATTATTTTTAGTTCATAATGAAATATTATATTGCAATATTGGTTTTTGATTTAAAAAAAGGTAGAATAAAATAGTAAAAATACTGTGTCATATTTCTAAGTATTCTGTTATATAGATTCAAAAATAAGAAACTAGACAAATAACAATAGAAAAAGCATATTTTCTATTTCTTCTTAAGTAGCTTTAGAAATTAAAGTCTTCCAGTACAGACAACAGCCTCGAACGATAAACTGCAATGCTTTCATACCTGATACTTTCTCTATCTTTATCGAATCAGAAACATATCAAAATCAGAATAAAATATGCTTTAACTAACATTTTATAATTACGCATACTTCCATAAAGTAAAAATATTTAATAATACAAGTCTTTACTTGGCGGTGAATCGGCGACCGTCCTTCATAGCTTCAACTGTGTAATTGACTCCCTGTGTCAACACTCCTCCGTCGTTATCCACCCATGTTATCTGAAAGAAGACATAGAAATTATTTCCACTGGCTTTAAAATGTTTACTTTCTTGATGGATTAAAAAAACGGAGTGTCACCGGGGTGGGGACACTCCGTTTTCTATTTATCCGTATAAGAGGTGACTTAGCGAGCAAACTGCGCAGGACAACAGCACTGCAAAGAGAAGGAAAATTTGACACAAACCTTATACCAACTCGTCTGGCCAGCGTGGCATAGCAGGCCAAAACCTTCTTTCTAAGGAGAGGCCTATGTTCAGCAGTGGACCATTAAAGGCTAGTCGTATTAATGCGATGAATATAATTTATGGACAAAAAAGTTGTATTACCCTTGACAACTTACAACTTTTGTATCAGTGATTTACAATTTAACTACAATTATTTTGACTGGTATATCAATTTTAGTTATCAACTTTGGGTGATGACCCAATAAGATAGACATGGAATCGAGTTTTTGTTTTATATATTTAATACAATATACAGGTGTCCTTGAAAATGTAGCTGTACACTAGAATACTGGCCTAAAACTCTTATCCTCGTAGTATTTGTTCTCGGCATTCAATTTTACCAAGATATTTTTTTAAATAACTACCTGTTTTAAAGTTATGGCTGTAATAACGCTTTTGTTTCTCATAAAAACAAGAAATGTGTAAAGTTATACATTTTTGAAGTTAATGAGATTTTAATTAAAATATTATTTCAATCCCTTAATGAGAAAATTCATAAAACCCAATTTCTTGAATATTGTTAGTTAGTTTTTATGTAATTTCGTAATAATGGTTTGAATAATGGCAAGCAACAACTGTGTTCGATTTATATTATTCAACGTAATCCGTTCCATCTACATTGATGAGAATTAGAGCTGATAATATCTGAAAATTGAAATGGTCACAAATTTTAAACGAATTATTTATTAATAAAAAAAATGGTATACCAATGTGTTATGTTATGTTGTGTTATGTCCTTTCAGTGGTTTTAATAAGTGTTCCGTTGATTTGTACATAAAAGACACAACATATACATTGACACAATATTTGTACATAAGAGATACACATATTTGAATTCATATACATATTGAATATTTCTTTCTCTTGTTTTTAAAATGTAGCAAGGTGGCTATTTTAAAAGCTAACATACATGATGTTAACTTAGTTATGATAAAATTTGTATGATGTATCAAATGGTTTTTGACTATGTAACTATTAAAAACTTGTATGTGTTTTTTTACATTTTATGACTAAATTAATTAACGATTAATGGACACATCGTTAAGAAACCTGTACAGCATTTTATTATAATGAGTGTAGGCCCTTACCAAGTAAAGAGGCAATAAAAAGAATGTGATTTTAACTTTGTAATTAACATCAGTTTTAAAAGTTAATAAAGTAACATATTTAATATTAGAAATAATACTATTTTCACTATTTTTTCCCTTTTGTATAAGACTACTGTGGCATGTGTTCGTGTGTGGTGACTTTTCTGTTACACACGAACTCCCAAACACTGGTCTGTCAACCCTACTCACCACTTAGCAGAATAAATATTATACTACGGCAATCCTGCTTGTAAATCGACTTCTTTACGCTCTAAGTACTTACTACGTCAGGATGTAATAACTACTTGGAAAAACCTGCAGCATCCCCGATGAAAAATTTAAAATCAATTCTACATTATAAGAACTTAATACATAACTTTGAATTGCCTAAAATTTTATAAGGAAGCTCTAGCTATCGGCTGAAGGTTGACGTGAGGTAAGACACCTTCACTATACCGCTCATTCGATTTCGATATTCTTAATGTTTTCGTTACGTCAAGTACCATCACATAATACTCACACTATCCCTATGAGCAAACTGATGTCTAATTTTCTGGTGTTTATCCACACATATAAGTGTGTATACACACACATAAGTTGTAGAAAATTTAAAACGATCTGCCCGATTGAAACTTTTATGTTTTTAATTGCAATCGTATTACATACATCGTTTGAGTAAAAGCGACGTTCGGTGGAGAGGGCTTACGTTCGGGGAAATTCAATCTAGTGACTGCCGCCCGTTTGAAATGTGTGTTTTTGCTGATGTTTATTTCAGTAATTCACTGCAGCGATATATTCTTGAAACTTTACAATTCAAAGGTATTTTATAGCCTATGATCGATTAATTCATTAAAAATACAATGGTTTTAATTAATATGTTATAAATACCTCGGCTGGAGGCTTCCCTCCAATGGAAACACACTCCACATTAACTTCTCTGTCTTCAACCGCTTGAATAACTGGACCTTTTAATATCTTAGGAGGCTCTGGTGGTACCAGAACTAAAAGGCGAGCGTATCTGGAGCGGATTGCTGGTTCCCCTGTTGACGAAAAAACTCTTTGAATCAGATGATAACAGTAAAATAGATTAACTTTATACTATGGGACAGTTCGTCCAGCAAATCTAAAACAATTCTCCTGAATGAGTTATCCAATGAATCCTTATAAAATCAAATGGTATAGAAACTTAGACATGTTTACAATTAATTATTTTCTAAGAGAGTCATTTTAAAGATTTTGTTAACAAAATGTAAAAGAAAATTAATAAAATTGGAAGATTGCTTCATTCTAAATGATGTAATAATTTGGCTATGGTGGCTTCCACATATGACGAAAAACATACTTCAGTAACGTTAAACGTAGCCAAATCATAACTACGAGTAGTAATCCTACATCGTGCAGTAAAATTTCAACATCAACCGATAGGTTACGGTCAACCAGACATGATCCCCACACCTGGTCTTGCTATCTTCCCTTTGTGATAGAGGGACAGAACACCCATTCTTCTATGTAGCTGTAGTATGCGTACCTACAACCTAGCAGTTATTAAAATCTTGACTGAGGAGTTAGTGCTGTTTATTTGGCGGTACGTTTTGCAATTAATCAAAACCTCTCGGGCAACTGTCAAACGATACAAAAATCACGCATGCCGACGTTCGCAGAGGGTCGACTTTTGACATGTCAGGTAACCCGTACATGACGCAGGCGACATCGGACAAGGCGTCGCGGGACACGTATGTTCTGAAACGAGCGATGAGGTCGTAGGACAAATATCGGGGCCGAAATATTGGATACAAACGAAAAATCTACAAAGATCTATTTCATTACTGTTAAACATTAACTGGACTGCACGGATGGCGTAATGGTATAAGCGATATATATTAATAAAGCGGATTGAGGGTTCGATGCCCACATGGGACAACACTTTGTGTGATCCACAAATTGCTGTTTGAGTCTGGGTGTTCTTTGTGTCTATTTTATGTATGTCTGTAAAGTTCTTATCTTTTATAAAAAAAAATACATATTGACAGGCCTGTTGGTCTAGTGGTTAGTGACCCTGACTGCTAAACCGGAGGTCGTGGGTTCGATTCCCACCCAGGACAAATATTGTGTGATGAGCACGGTCATTTGTTCTGTGTCTGGGTGTAGTTTATCTATAATATGTATCTATTTAAAAATATATAAGTATGTTTTTCAGCAGTCTGGTTACCATAGTACAGGTTCTGCCTAGTTTGGGATCAGACGGCCGTGTGTGAGATGTGTGAGATATATTATAATATTATTATTACAACAACTAGATCTTAATTAATTACCAATTATAAGTACTGCTCTCTTGATTGTGTAAGGTAAATATTATTTTTATCTGACTGACTGACTAACTCATTAAGGCAGTCTAAACTGCTGGGACTACAAATTTGAAATTAATGCAGCTGATGCTTTTTACGTCCTTTAGAAATTTAGCTCCTAAAGGGGTAAAATAAGATATGAACGATTGTGTGTGTTCGTCATTTTTAAAGTTAGAAACTCGAAATAAGAAATAATCAGCTATTGTGAGCAAAGTAGCGGACAATAGCTAGTCTAAGATACTTTTGACATTTTATGAATTATATACCTTAAAATTTACAAACATCATAATATATGATAATGTTTATACGATCGTAACCCTTTTAGTTGATCATAAAACTGTGAACTATCCGATTGCAAAACAACTAAAATGTGTTAGTAAAACATATACACACAATAGTTCATTGTTTGTTCCCAAAGCTGCCTCAATGGGCAAATTTGTCGAATCATCACATCCTTCACCACAAATTATAACTACCCTTACGAACAGGACGCATAAAACAAACCGCATTACCATACTTTGTGAGAGTTTATTGTTTTATTTGGTTGTAACTAACTTTATACAGCGGTTTCCTTTCGCATTTCGATTGGTTTTATTCAGGATAAATTATTTGTCTAGTGTTCTTGTTTTAGTTTTATCCTGCTCCTCGAAATGTGTTAATGTTTTATTGAAAGCTAAACCTATATTGTAGTAGTATGTTTTATACCCCATATTATTCCTCATTTAAGGTACAATAAGAATCATCTATATCTGACTGAAGTTTAGAGATAAGATTTTTTTTACCTAAGCACTAGGAATAAATTCTGTGTTGCGGGGACTTTACAAACATACATGAAACGGACACAAAGGAAACCCAGACTCAGAACAACAACTTGTGGATAACACAAAGTGTTGTCCCATATGAGAATCGAACCCACAACACTCAGCGCAGTAGAAAGCGGCGAAGTGACCGCCTAAACCACTACCGCATCCGTGCAGTCTTAACAATACTTGAAATAAACAACTAAAACAGCTCCAATTTATAATATCAGTGTACATAAGAAAATCTAGTTCGCGTGAAGTACAAATATATATCACAATTTAAGGAAGTTTAACTCAATTCTGTTGTCATATTTTACATGCCACCAACATAACCGCATAAACTAACTCATTTAATACATAAGCGGAGCTAAAAGTGTTGGAACTGGGTACACTGGAGTTACAAAGGTTAAATGACATTAAAGTTTGTGAAGGTTTGTTAAATACACCAAGATACTGTACTATACATATTCCTTTCTTGAATAATGATATCTAAAATTTATTTATTTGAATTCTTTATGCACAAATTACAACTCACTTGTACAATGGCGGATTTAATGCCATAGGCATTTTCTCCCAGTCAACCTTTGGGTGGTGGGGAAATTTCTGAGTAGGTGCACTAATATTTGTCGTTAAAGAATACAACAATATATACAAAATATAAAAAGAAACAGTAGTGTTATCTTATCTTTATCCATAGTTGTGATTTCGTTAAGATAATCTTGGGACTGTGACTGTGTGTGTAAGTGTGTGATAATCGTTGACTGCCTCTGTGGAGCAGTGGTAGCGAATGCGACTGCTGTGTTTAGGTCTCAGGTTCGATGCCCGGGTCGGACTAAATGTTTTCTATGTATAATATGTCTGTATTTACAAAAAAAAGTGTATAAGTATTCTATCAGTCAATCTAGCTTTCATAGTACAAGCTCTGCTTAGTTTGAAACTAGATGGCGTTGTGTGTTAGATGTTTCCAGATGTACAAATTTAGCAATTTTTTTTGGGTCCGACGAACTGGTGAAACCGTTAGATGCGGCAGCACAGGAGTGTCCAGCATTGGATCTCTTTCGGTTGAGATGATAATGAGATTTTTAAACTAAAGGAATGTAACATAGGATATGTGTATACATACAATAAGATAGAAATAATATTTTAGATTTGAAATTCTATGTGAGATGATTAAGTACTTTTGTATGTAATGTAATGCATTGGCGGCAAGCGAGTTTTTTTTTACACATCTCACACACGGTCGTCTGATCCCAAACTAGGCAGAGCTTGTACTATGGTAACATAAACATACTTATATATTTTTAAATACATACATATTATTGATATAGAGATATTAGAGATTTAGAATGAAAGAGTGTTAAAAAAGTTTTCAAGCAGTTCCTCATAAAAAAGCTTTTATTCTACTTCTGAGTTTATTGATTATAAATCTGATTAATTTATTTGTATTAATTTTGTTTATTATTGTGTAGTTGTGTCTATTTTAGGTCTAATAATATATGGTATAAAATTTAAGGTTTTGTGTTGTTAATTTTAATTAGGATTTTAAAATAATTAAAATTTGTATTCCTATGGGTATAATGTAGCGACTTATTTTTTAAATATATGTAACATCTAATATTAATTTTACCTACCTTGACAATTAAATATTTTTATTTCTATAAATTACACCCAGACACAGAACAAGTGATCGTGCTGGTAAGTGACCACCTCCGCTCACGGACACCTTCATCTCAAGAGTCACAAATGCGTTGCCGCCCTTTGAGGGTGTGATGCGTGTTTTACACAAAATAGAATTACGTAGTGTGATAATTTTTCGATGATGATGATAGTGATGGCTTTATTGCTCATATAAAAACCAAAGCAATAGAAGATTCAGTTACCGCAAACATCACTTTTTAAGTTTTAAATGTAAAATTTAAAAAAAAGGACTGGATTAGAAAAAAAAGAAAAAAAAAGAACTCTTTGTCTCGTGGTGGACAGTCTGCTATTTAATTCCTAGACTGTACAAAACAAAAAAAAAAACTATAGATTTATATTATTAAATAGCTTTGTATACGATCGAAGTGGCGTGCAATAGGAGAGGCCTATGTCCAGCAGTGGATCGCAATATCAGCCTGATAATGATTGTATACGAGCACCTCTTTGCAGTTGCTCTAATTTATGTAACAATTACTAATACTTATTAGTAGTTAACTACTTTTGATGAATCAATTACCTGTATTTTCGAAATACTGGTACTTGCTTTAATAATAATTTGTATTACCGTTTGTTTTTATTATCAGTGTCATACAAGCAATACAGATTTATTTAATCAATCATGAACATATTCTAAACTAATAGGTCTAACGACATAATAATATACTTGTCGGGCTATCTTTGTTATTAATTATATACGTTAATATATCATAGCGTTATCGTGACGGAGCCAGGCTTCTGCACAAATTTCGACCACACACAAGGTTCGACCGGAGTTCCGGAGTAGGAGTTTCGTACTTAATTAGGCAACATGTGGGCTTGTAATACACGCCTCTGTTGCCTCCTTCGGTTGCTGTGGTGGCTGCTGTTGCCCCTGTATAAATAACCATCTACATCTGTTGCACCAAGATCTGCTAATATCAAACATTATTCTCGCCACGGGCTTAGCTTCTCCTGGTCCTTTTCCGTACCGTTTTGTAGAAACATACTTTTACTTCTACAATCGTAAATAAGAGCATATTATGTAGATTTGTAGGCATAGGGTGTAAATATAATAATATGTATTTTTTAGTAAATAATAAAAAGATTTTAGTTTTTAAATTATCTTCTTTTTGAATAAAGTGCACAGTGTCTATATCATAAATAAATATGATACTGTAGTTTTATCATTCTTCGACATGCAAGACATTGAATAGGTAG